CATAGCCCTCGTGTAGCTTTGCGCGAAATTCCAAAAACAAACAAACAGAATACAAACTACTTCAAATACTTAAAACGCTAAATTTCGGGTTTTGATATGCGTGGTGGGCACAGCACAGATTGTCCATTGTGTATTTTTGTACCAAACAACAAACAAACAAACTTCAAATATTGACATTTAAAAACAAATAAAACTTCAATAATGAAGATAAAAACTTCAACAATGTAGATAAAACTATATTTTAATTCCATATTATAAAGCGGGAGAAAAGTGGTCATTTAATAATGATGTAGAGAACTATAAAATCTTCTAAAACAAAAACATATTAATAATCCGATAAAGTATGGCACATGGAGTTAAAGTTAAAGTTTTTTTTATAATAATCTTCAATGCGATACAGAAATGCGAAATTTTCCTAGCATTTTGGAAATATGGTATATGTTGGCAATATCTTCATAGAATTTGTATTAAAAGTTCTGTACATTTTTGTCAGGGAACATCCAAATTATCAGGCTGTTGATTAATTTGATCACATAACAGAGGATTTTTTCTAGCAATAACTTCAACAATGTTTCCATAATCTGGACACAAGATGACTTCAAATAATTCAAGCATATCGAGAAACAATTGAAATGATAAATGAAAGGATAATACCGCTTATGCGTAATTTTTAGGGGGGGGGTGTTTTGAAAAATAACCGAAAAAGCCTTTAACTTAATCTTTTAATTACACATGCAATTGTTTATAGAGTCCACAATTCTTGTCTGTCTAATACATGCTATACATCAAAATTATCCTCAGTGATTATGCAAATAGATGATGTGCAATATACATCCATATCTATATTTTGGATCAAAACATCACCGCATCGCTTTGGTTATCCAGCATCTTCAATACCTACTGTTTGTTATAGTAATGTATATTTTTCCTTTTTCTACATGAAATACATTTGGAAATCTTTCGAAGTTCACAAAAGGATAAAGTAATGACATTAGGACTGAGTAAATTGAAAGCTATTTATAGCAGTATATGTTGTTATAGCAGGCTTAATATTTTCGTCTGTAGAAACACTGTAAAACAACGACGTATACAATTTCTATATATCTACAATGGAAAATTTGCCGTCTAAAAACGATTAGTTTAAATTAAAACAAAAAAGAACAAATGGTGTATTTGTCATAGTACTAGTCATTGCCACTATGTCATTGACAGACTTAAGAGACTTTCTCACTCGCTAGAGCTATGTTGCTGTTGTTTCTTACTACTGACTCTTTACAGAAAAAGGAGTCCTCCGCTTCCACTTTCTACTATATGAAAACAGTGCACATAGTATAAGTGCCTAACTTATTACATAGCCATCATTGTGACAAGAGAAAAATAGACTAAGCTATATTTCCAACAAAAATCTGCTCAGTTTATTGGTGATGCCAAAATAAAGCCTCATGTTCACTGATAGCACAAAGACTTTGCTTAATGTAAATAATGTGAACACAAAGCAAATTATAAAACATCAAAATAGATTAAAAACACGCTAATTATGTTTATAAGATAAGTGTGCTTCAAATAATATACTATTCATTAGGAATATACAGCATATATAATAATAATAATACAATCTAAGAAGATTTCTTTTACAAACTGTTAAGTGAGTGAAACTTGTCTTCTGGCAAGGACAACATTTTCCTATCAACAAAACTTAATATTTATGGGGTATTTCAAGCACAGCAGTTGTGTTGTGAATTATGTATATTTTCATTAGCTTTTTTATTTCTTTATATTGTATACTAAACCCTTTTTTATTTCTTGTTTTAACTTCCAGTGTATTGGTAACTTAATCCAGTTCTGAACCAGTCACCTGCAGCCCATCAAAAGGGACAGTATTAAAGCTATGAATATTTTCATTTTACTAGCCAACACCTGCCATACTCATGTAGAACTAATACGGTGCCCCACAGTGGCACAGCGGAAATCGGGTTTCGATACCCGTGGTGGGCAGCGCACAGATAGCCCATTGTGTAGCTTTGTGCTTAACTTCAAACAAACAAACTAACTAACATGGCCACATTCAAAGTTGCTGAGGAAGACCAAGAAAGCCCTTGTCAATCACCTAAGGTTCACAAAAAAATCCAGTTGTAAAACTAGTTTACATTGATATATGCATCTAGACTCAATCAAAGAGTGCACTCAACCCTTTACACGTGTCAGATGGTATACATATATATACCGGGAATGTGCTAAAACATTGTTTAACTTAAATGGTTCTGATTGGTAAATTGCTGAGTCATTTCAGCAGCACTTGTCAGATCAAGACATCTTCAGTGATGCAGGATTTCAGTGAACATGCTATAGGCGTTTTTGTAGACAAAAAAGTGCATAGGGAGTGGAAGTAAATATTACCAAGAAATATTGTTGTTGTTTTTTGAATTTCGCGCAAAGCTACAC